GCGCTCGCTTGCACGGGGGGAAGGGCTGCAAGAGGAGGGCTGGCCCGGGGGCACAGGATGGGATATGCCCAGCAGGGCCCTCGGCTGCCAAGCACCACACTGCGGCCAGGAACTGCCAAGGGCCGCCCGTCAGGCCCGTCGCTCTGCAGGACCGAGCACTGCGCCGCCCCAGCTGCCCACTCCCAGCCTAGTCCCTAGCCAGTAGCCATGTTCCAGCCATTGCTCGCCAGGCCCGCTGCAAAAGCAGGATGCATCACTACCCCCCTGGCACAGAAGGGGAAACCGAGGCACGGGGCAGGTCCCAGGTCACCCAGCGGGCTGGTGGCAGGGCTGGGAACAGAGCTGAGGTTGCCTAATTCCCAGTCTGGTTGTCTTAATAGTAAAGAGCATGAAAGGGGTTTGGCTAAACCCGCCGCTGTGCCCACTCCCACCGTCCTGGCTCCGCAGCCTTTGCCGTACACTTCTTGGGGGGCGTCAGTGTTCTGGGGAGCCATGTTCTCCCCTTGTTTCACACTCACCTTCGCAGCGTCTGCTTGGCCGGGCTCTCCCTCCTGCGTCCGACCGACGGGATTGTGCCTTAGCAAGCTGGCGCCCTGGTCGAGCGCCGTCCCTCCCCCTTGGTGCGCCCTGTGGCAAAGCAGCACGTGGCTTGTGCACTGGAGGCTCGGGCAGCGGGTGGCGACAGCCCTGAGCTAGCCTGCCTGGCGCTGGAGTGCTAGTGAGCCGTGGCAGGGTGGCCCAGGGCCCTGGCCGGGCACGGTAAAGCCCAGTGCCAGTGCAGCCGCACCGGAGAGGGAAGACCCACGTACGGGCAGACGTTGCACAATCCCCTTCCGAGGCCGACAGCTCCACTTGCAGGGAGACTGGTTGCGTGGCACAGGGGGGCCAGTCGCTCGCTGTTCCCCAGGGCAGCGCTGGGCAAGATGCGGCCCGGGGGCTGGATCCGGCCGCTTGCTAGTTCTGTCCTGCTGCCCGGGCCAGTGAACTCCCAGGCGGAGGCTCAGGCAGCAGGATCCTATTGAAATGGCTCCTGGCTCCAGTTGCGGCGCCACCCTGGCAGGAGCCGCGAGCCCTTGAAATAGCCACAGCAGCCCCACGTGGCGCCAGGCAATAGGGCAGCGGTGGGGCTGGGAGCCCTCTGCTGGGTTTTTAATTCAAAGCCTCCCCCCCCCCCGACAACTCTAGGCCACGCCCCTTCTGCCCCAAGCCCCTCCTCCACCAGGGTGGGGGGCTGTGACCATGTACCAAAATTCATTAAGTGCCCCCCCACGAAAATTACTGCCCACCCCTGCCCTAGGGGCCTGCAGCCAGGGCTGCTCAGTCTCTGCTGCTGGCTGGAGTTGGGGGCTTGGGCTGGGTCTCCGCATGAGCCTCCACCCCGCACTGTAGGCCTGGTTGGACGTGGTTCCCAGCCGCGCTGATGTGGCCACAGCACCACGCAGCAGAGGTCCCTGCAAGCTGGGCACTCGTGCGAATGCTCACGAGAGGGTCAAATCCCGCCCAGCTGACTAGCAGAGTGCCCACAGTGAGCTTTTGTTTCTACTCGTGGTGCACATCCGCACGGGTCTTGGTGCACATGAAAAAATTATTCTACACCGGATGAAAAAAATGCCGCACCACCCTTCTGACTTGGGCCTGTGGTGTGAGTGGCGCCCTCCCTGCAAGCTGACAGGGCTGGGATGCGCCTGATGGTGGGAGTAGGTCCTGACCTGACCCTGCCATGGTCCCACGGCCCAGCCCCCGTGTGCTCACCGACCTGAGCTGTGCGTGGACAAAGTGACCCAGTGCCTGGGCTTGGGGTGACGTGTCGGGAGGCTGAGCAGTGCCTTCAGTCCAGTCCTGGGCTGATTTTCAAGCCTTGGGAGCTGGGGGTGGGGAGCAGGAAGCAGCCAGCAGAACGCGGATGTACGAGTTGCAGGGCTGTGAGCGCCCGCCCCACCGTGCTAGGTGCTGTACAAACAGACCGATGCGCCCCAGGCCAAGCTGCTGCTAACGTCCCTATTCAGGGGCGGCGGCGCTATGGTCCAGCCGGTCTGTGCTGGGCCCTGACCCCCAGGGCCTGACCCTGAGCAGGCATGAAAACTATGGGCAGCGAGGGGGGCTGGGAGCTGGGAATGAGCAGGCGGAGGCAGGAGAGTCGAGCTCCCTTCTGAGCTTTGGGGCAGGTTCGGTTTCCACTCGGCCCGATGTCCTTGGGCAGAACCGCAAAGACTCAGCTCCCAGCACCTCGTGCTCACCGCCAGCTGCCCCCCGGCCTGTTGGGCTGCTCCAGCCTCCCCAGGGGCCGTTCGCCCACTGAAGCCAGAGAAAAGCAAAGTGCACTGTGGCCGGGGCCCATCCGGTGACTCCAGCGTCCCTTATGCCGTCTCCACGGGGATCCTTAGCCGGGGGTGCACACGCCCCAGCCTGGCTCAGCCCACGCTCCAGCAGCCAGCCCCGAAGGCAGCAGGGGGGTAATTTGCCCCCTTTCTCCTGGGCTGTGTCCCTGAAGTGTGAGCTTTAATGTGCCTTGTGAAGCACTCGGCAGCATGAGCGGCGACCCCTCGGGCTGCTCTTGTTCCCCGTACAAACGTCCGATCCCGTTTGAACCTTGCAACGTGCTTGGCCACATTTCTGGTGGCCGTGAGT